ATCATCATCATCATCATCATCATCATCATCATCATCATCATCATCATCATCATCATCATCATCTCATCATCATCATCATCACCGGGACACCATGATCATCACCATCATCATCAACAACATCACCATTATCAGCATCCTTCCCATCAACATCATCGGGACACCATGATCATCACCATCACCATCATCACCATCATCACTGTCATCATCATCATCATCATCATCATCATCATCATCATCATCATCATCGAAGTTATCATCATCGGGACACCAGCGGGACACCGGCGGGACACCGGCGGGACACCGCGGGGCCCCGGCCGCCCGGAAGGGAGACATTTGGTCCGGCCGCGCCTCAGCCACAGGGGACACCAGCGGGACACCGGCGGGACACCGCGGGGCCCCGGCCGCCCGGAAGGGAGACATTTGGTCCGGCCGCGCCTCAGCCACAGGAGACTTTCCTCTCGCCCGCCCACGCAGCTTCGCCTCGCCCGCACGCACGGCACGCACGAACACGAAACCGAAATCGATTTCCCGGTAGGGGGGCTCTCCGTTCCACTTCGATCTCACCCCCTCACCTCCGATGCGTGTATGTATGTATGTAAATACTAATTACACATACTAGAACCAACGCGCGCGCTTCGCGCGCGCTCAAGTTCTAGCTCGGCTTGATGGGCGAACACATGGAATATCATCCGTGTCGTTTCCAGCATCCACGGATTCTTCTGAAGGCCCTGCGCAAGTCTCGGAATCGCATATCAAGGGGAACTGCGGAAACGCAAAAATCACTAATTGCCGTTAGGTATTCAACGAGTTGGGGCCCTCGAAGGCTTCCTGGGTTCTTTTCTGGGGCCTTAATTGTGGTCTGTTGTGCAAGAGTAGACAGAAAGCGAACTGGGAAAAACAACGGAATGGGCGGGATTTCCATTTTTTCAAGTTGTAGTGCCTGGGCTGTGGGTTAGACGTTTTCTGCATGCAGGCCACGGTCTGTTGGGATGCCTCTCGGGGTCTTCGGGCAAAACTAAGCAGGGGGTGAGTTTGAAAAAAGGAATTCTAACATTCCACTGCTTCAACTGATGGGATCATGGGGTCTCGATCAGGGGCTTCCAAGAGGACACGAAGACGACCCAAGAAAGTGCCAAGACAGGGTCAGAGAGTTCAACTGCATTCCCGAAACATTTTTGCATGTGACCCCGAAGTCTTGATGGGGATCGAGTATGAGGATAGGGAGTGGGAGTCCCAAAAGGGAATCTCTGGAATTCCTTATTTTTTCAAATTCCTCGGTCTTGGAGCGTTGGAAGCGGGAAAACGTGAGAAGGCGAAACGCGTCGACAAGAACCACTGGAAAGCAACAATTTTACCCTCTTCAGGCTCTCTCGGGACGGCTCTCGAAGCTCTCTTGGGCTGTTTTGGGGGCCTCGTCGGCGCTTTTTGGGGGCCTCTCACGGGTCCGGGTTGTGTTAGAGGCCTCTGGGGGGTCCCGATTACCCCTCAGAGGTCTCTGGCGGCCTCCTGCTCCCGCTCTTGGGCTCATCTTGGGCCTGTTCTGGGGTGGTCTGGGGCTGTCCTGGGCGCCTCTTCGGCAGTCTTGGAGCCGTCTTGGCCCGTCTTTGGGCCGTCTTGGGGGCCTCTTGGGCGGTCTTGGGGGCCTCTTCGGTCACCTTGGAGCGTTGGAAGCATGAAATGGTGAGAAGGCCAATAACCATTAAAACAAACAATGAACATTTACGATTTTAGGTTCTCCTCTTGGAGACCTCCTGGGAGCCTGGAGAGCTGCCCGAAACCTATCCTGAGTTGCTTGGGAGCGTCTTGGACCTTTCTTTGACGTTCTGGGGGCTTCTTATAGTCGTCTTGGGCTGTCCTTGGGCGTTTTGGGGGCTCCCCGGGAGGTCGGGAAGCGCGGTACTGGGAGCGTTCCGCAGATGTTCCGGGATGGTGTGGGATCCCCGGAGGAGGGGGCGCGCATTTATCGAATTCGAAAAAATGATCTCTGAACTTCCATTTTTTCTTTCAAACTCCTCGGCCTTGGAGCGTTGGATGCCGGAAGACGTGAGAAGGCGGAACAAGTCGACAACAATCAGTGACAATCAACGTTTTTACCCTCTTCGGGCACTCTCGGGACGGCTCTCGAAGCTCTCTTGTTCTGTTTTGGAGGCCTCGTCGGCGCTTTTTGGGGGGCCTCTCAAGGGTCTGGGGTGTGTTAGAGGCCTCTGGGGGGTCCCGAAGTCCTCTCAGGGGCCTAGGGGCACACAAATAAATACACACACACAAATCCCAGGATTCCCAATGTTTTTCCATATCTTCTGGGTTTTAGTCTTCCCCCCCCCCCCTCCCACATTTTCCCATATTTTCCGGGGGATTGGCGATGAATTGTGTCCGTAGGTCTCCCCTCCCGCGGACTGCGGACACAACACAGGTGGGCCAGCGGAGCCTCGCGCTTGATAACGACAACCTGGACAGAGAAGGGGCACACGAAGCAACAGAGGCAGGACACACAAGGGGAGGATTATCTCAAGGGGCCCCAGGACACACAAATAAATACACACAAATAACACGATTCCCCATATTTTCAAATATTTTTGGGGTTTTCGTCTTCCCCCCCGCTTCCCATATTTTCTCATATTTTCTGGGGACGTCGATTAATTGTGTTTGTGTTGTTTCCTCTCCTGCGAATCTTTTGATCGCGGGCGAACAGAGGCCGATGAAGAGTACGGACGGCAACGGGCAGAGGGAGCGAGGAGGCGAGGGAACAGAAACCGACACTTGACTGACAGCATCCCGGTATGCTACCAGAGCTGCGCGCCCACGCGTCCGCAATCAGAGGAACACCAATCAGACTGCGCGTCCAGGAGGCCAGCATGACCAGTTCGGAGCACATGGCACGACGCCGATGAACTATGTGTGTTGTTTCCTGGGGGTCGACGATGATCGACGATGAATTGCGTCTGTGTTGAGCAGAGAACGACCGTCCCGGCATTCCTATAGGCCTACCACGAAATGTTCGTGGAACCCAAACATGTTCTAAGGACAAAAACAATGAATGCTCTTAGTACATAAACCCGATGTGTGAAAACAAGACAGTCCCGGCCAGAAATGTTCTAAGAACATCTCGCGGAAGCCACAATACGTTCTTAGAACATTCTTCAAGGGCTCCCAACTTCGCGCTTCGCGCTGCGCGAAGTGCGAATAACTTCGCGCTCTCGCGCCGCCTCCCAGGGGAGAAGAAGAGGGTGAGGAGGAGTCGGAGCCGAATCGCGAAGCGCGAATCACTTCGCGCACTCGAGGGCGCCCTTGATTCTTCGGTAGGCCTCTATGCACGCCAGGACGCTGCGTCACTGCTTGACTGTGTGCTGCTTCCCCTCCTGAGCTACCCTTAAGTCGGGCCTGTCCCCCTACATGGGGATTTTGGGCGAAACACAAAAAATAGTCAAACAATACCCCCCAGAAACTCAAGAATGGTCAAAACATCGCCCCCAGACTATTTTTGGACTCTTCTTGACTGCTCCCCCCGTGGAGGGACGGGCCAGACTCAGAGCTGCCCCTGGGCGGCCCCAGGCGGCGGGCCTCCCGGGGGGGAGGGGGGCCTCCGCTGGCCTGCGCAGCGCAGGGGCTTCTCCGGAGGGGCTTCGTCACTGCTTGACTGTGTGCTGCTTCCCCTCCGGTTTGGACGCCCGAGATGGGTACCGAAAGAACGGGTACAGTGCCCAATAACAAAGTTGTCCCAAACCAACCGCGGCCGCTGTTGGGCAGGCGGCCTTCTGTCTCGCATGGACACAGGCCGCGGCGGCGCGGACAGCGAGTCCTGTCCAAAATGATCAGGAACTGCTGTTTGGCAGCGTACCCACTCTTAGGGGAACAACAAGTGACATAAACATAAAAACTCGGAGATCCGCGCGGATTTCTCGGATCGGCGCAAGGGCCCCCCGGCGGCGCCTCCGGCGCCGCCCCTGGCGCGCTCCGCGCGCCAGGGAGGGGGGTCCAGCGCCGATCCGAGAAATCCGCGCGGATCTCCGAGTTTTTAATGTTTATGCTACTTTTTGTTCCCCTAATGCTTTCCGTGCCCATCTCGCTCGTGCCGATCCTGAGCTGCCCCCGGGCGACCCCCGGGGTGCCGGCGGCGGGCCTCCTTGGGCTGGCCATCGCTCGGACGTCCCATCTCTGTTTTTTTTCGGTTTCGTGCGTGCTTGTTTTCCCAAATGATCAAGGATGCTCCTCGGTGGTCCTCGCCGAAAGACAAGTGCACACGTCCGAGCGATGCCAAGTGGAGGGGGGGGGGCCCGCAGGCCCGCGCAGCGCAGGGGCTTCTCCGGAGGCTCTCCCCGGAGGCTTCTCCTCCGCCGGCAGGCCCACGCAGCGCCGCGGGGCGCAGGACCGCCTCGAGCCTCGAGCCTCCTCCTCCTCCCCCTCATCCCCCTCCTCCCCCTCCTCCTCCTCCTCCTCCTCCTCCTCCTTTTCCTCCTCCTTCTCCCCTTCCCTCTCTATCTCCACCTCCTCCTCCTCCTCCTCCTCCATCTCGAGCTCGAGCCTCGAGCCTCGAGCCTCGAGCCTCGAGCCTCCTCCTCCTCCTCCTCGCGGGCCGCCTCCCCGCTCTACTCCTCCTCCTCCTCCTCCTCCTCCTCCTCCTCCTCCTTTTCCTCCTCCTCCTCTCCAAGCCTGCTGCCCCCCCTCCTGGCTCACGATCTCCCTTCTTCCTCCTCTCCTCCCCTTCCCTCTCCACCTCCTCCTCCACCTCCACCTCCTCCTCCTCCTCCTCCTCTTCCTCCTCCTCTCCAGACCACCCCCTCTTTCCCCCCCGAGCCTACCCCTCCCCCCCCCCGCGAGCGCCCTGCCCCGCGAACGCACGCGCGGGAAGCAGCAGCCGGGGACGCCGACGACGACCACGGCGCCCACGGCGCCCGCCACGACGCCGAAGGCAGCGACGACGGCCTGGACGGCCACGCCGACGACGACGACGACGAGCGACGACGGCGCCCGCCACGACGGCGAAGACGCGGCGGCAGCGGCGCCTCATCATGGACGACGGCCCCAGGCCGCACTTGCCCCTGCGCCCGATGCTCCTGTCCAGCAGCTCGCGCTCGTGCTGCACTGGCGGGCGCGCGCGGGGGGCGCCCGCTCGGGCCCGGGGGCCCGCCTCCCGCGGGCGCGGCGGGCGAGGGGCCGTGGCCCCGCGGCGCAGCCGGGTGCGCCCGCACGGCCAGGACGCCGAGCTCGGGACAGCCCCGGGGCCCGGGAGGCGCCCTGGATCTCGGGCTGTTCCTTCGATCTAGGATTCTGTCCCCCCACAGGGGGATTGTCGACGACACATAAGAAGCACCCCAACAATAATCAAACCATAGTCCAAAAATAGTCTGGGGACTATGTCTTTGGTATTTTCTGACTTCTCTTTTGCTTAAGAAATAAAACATCGAAGAACAAACATTTTTCGTAGAACACCCCCCTGTAGGGGTACACGCCTGGCATAAATCTGGGATCTGTGTGTGTGTGTTTTTGCGGCCGAGGCCCGCCGTGGCCAGAAGCAACGCCTCCGCTCCTGGTCGGGCGTGCCCTGTGATGGCACGATGGCTGTAGCCTTAGGTCGGGCCTGTCCCCCTACAGGGGGATTTTCGACGACCAATTAAGAAATACCCCCAAAACTACCCCCCAAAAGGTCAAACAATATTCAAAAAATAGTCCCCAGACTATTTTTGGACTATTGTTGGGGTATTTTTTATTTTTCGTCAAAAATCCCCCTGTAGGGGGACAGGCCCGACTTAACTGTATCCGTCTCGGCATGCCTGTGCCGCTCTGGGCGCGCGCGCGCGGGAGGGGGAATCGTGGAGCCGCTCTGCCGTGTTGAACAACACAAGATCTGTCCCGTCTGGCCCTCCAAGAGAGGGAGGAACAGGAGGAGGGAGGGGGGGATGGGGCGTCCCCCTCCCTTCTCCCTCCCCCAGTCTCTTCGTCGTCGTCCTCCCCTTCCTCCCGCCAAGAGGGGCGGAGGCAGGGAGGCGCAGCGGGTCATGAGCGGAAAAGGGGTGGGCGAGGAAGGAAGGAGAAGGTTCTCGTCATCCTTGTCCTCATCCTCCTCCTCCTCCTCATCATCATCATCACCCTCAATATCAACAACACCATCCTCCTCCTCCTGATCCTCCTCTTCTCCTCCTCCTTATCATCATCATCATCATCATCATCATCATCATCATCATCATCATCATCATCATCATCATCACCATTATCACCATTATTGGTATTATAATTGTTACCACCGTCAACGCCACCATTACCATCGCCATCGCCATCACCATTACCACCACCATCGTCGTCATTATGATCATCATCATAAGCATCATCGTCTTCATCTTCACCTTCATCTTCGTCTTCACCCTCACCGTCACCGTCGTCATCGTCATCGTCATCGTCAGCACCACCACCACGTCCACCACCACCACCACCACCACCACCACCACCACCACCACCACCACCACCACCACCACCACCACCACCATTATCACCACCATTATCACCACCATTATCACCACCACCAGCACCACCAGCATGGATGGGGCCAAATGTTCACTTTTGTATGCTCCGGGGCTTTCCTGTAGGCCGCCCGCGCCACGCCCCGAAGCACACCCGCCACACCCACACATCGCACCACCGACTGACCAGCCCATGTGGCAGAGAGAACACCGCGCGGCGCGCGCAGCATGCTTCACTCGGGCAGGGCGAAAGGGGGGGATAGCAAAGGGGGGCTTTGAGAATCAGCTTACGTAGCTGATTTTCCTGGCGCCTGCCAGCGCCGGGAGGCGCCCGTGTATCGAGGAATGGGCCCGGCGGCGGGGCCGAAACCAGCTGCATGCAGCAGATTTCGTACCCCCCCCCTTTCCCTATGCCCCCTTTCGTTCGGCCCGATTCGCCAAGGGGCGCACACCTGTGGGATAGGCCTTTCCTGTGTCTCGAACAGAGCTGCCCGCAAAGGCCCCTGACCCAAAACGCCTTGCTGTCGTTCCTGTGCCTGCAGCTCCTCCCTACTCCGCCTGCTGGCCCCTCGTCTTCCTCCGCTGCCTCGCCCCTCGTCCCCCCCTCCCTCCTCCTCTCCTCCTCCTCCTCCTCCTCCTCCTCCTCCTCCTCCTCCTCCTCCTTCGGCTGCCCTCCCCCTCGGACTCGCCCCGCCCCTCCCTCCCTCTCCCACTTCCGCCTCTGCCTCCCCGCTCCGCTTCCGCTTCCGCCTCTGCCTTCCGCTCCCGCTTCCGCATCTTGCAGACCGCGGTTAAACCGTGACTTGGGTTCCCCACCGGCGGGCCCCTGGCCCCCTCCCTGGCTCAGGGCCTCTACGACCCCGGCAGGAGTTCGGCCCTCTTGCAAGGCCCTCTCTGGCTCCCGGGGCCGAGGCCACGCTAACGGCGATGAGAGCGTGCATCGCCGTTCCTGCACATAGCCGTTCGCGTGCCTGCGGCTTGGGGCCCCAGAGGTCCACCAGCGGAGGGGGGGGGGGCAACTGGGGTGTGCACGGATGTATCGACGGAACGGCAGCACGGCGTTCACGGTTGGCGTCTCCGGGGCACACCGCTCAGCCGCTCACACTTTCATCTCTGCCCCCCCCCTCCCCCTCCTCGTTTCCCCTCAGCATGTGCCCCTCCTTCCTCCCTCTGTTTCTCCTTCCTCCATCTTCCTCGTCCATCGTGATTCGCTGTGGCATCCAAGTGTACCTCGCGCTGCTTGCACTACTTCCTGGTTGGGCCGTGATCTTTCGCACGCGCTCTGCTCTGGGAAGCTGTGTGTTGTCGGCCGTGTTTCTTCGTGGAGCTCGCCTGCCAATGCGTGCGCGTGCTCGTCGTTCCGCGAGCACAGGGCGCGTGCGTGGTCGTAAAACCTGTCGTTGCTCAGGGATCCGATGCTCCGATGAGCCCACGTCCTGCCTCCACCTGACTAGCACCTTCGGCGCTACTGGGCTTTCGGGATAAAGAGGTCGGCGGGAAACAGCAGTCGGAGCCAGGCGGTGATGACCGAGGCCGTGGTGGCCCGAGGAGGGGTTGAGGCGGGCTTCTGTCAGGCAGGGTCCAAGTACTACGAACGCTTGATCCTGGATGCCTTGCAACAGAGGACTGGCCTCAATCCTCCCGTGGCTTAGGCGGCGAGCAATTCTTGGAGAGGGCGGCGTAGGATCGTAGCCTGGTCCACACCAAATGTGCGCTACCATCGGGCCACGTGATTTTTGTGCGAGTGTCAGCGCTCGAACGTTTCGACGGCTCCGTCGGATGACCTGGAGTCGTACATTGAAGGCACAATTAGCGCGAGTGGCCAACCCGAAGCCGTGCTGAACGTCATCAGTGCAGACGCTGCTGGCCAGCACCAAGCTTTCACGGTGAAGCTGAGAGTTGCCCTGGCCAAGGGTGAGATGACTTTTGGATCGGACACTGCTATTGCCCATCGCCAGGGGGACACGCTCGGAGTTCTGGCGGGTGATGCTGGGACACGCTTGGTGTCCTTGGGGTGTGATCTGGCCCCGAGTGGTAAAGGGGGTCTCGCGGACACCTCAAGAGGAGGAAGGTGCGCTTTAAGGAAATGGTTCGGCGGCATATGTTCCCCCAATCTACAAGACGGCGCTCCGAAAGGAACAATGCCGAATACAGACTATTCACACTGCTGGGGTGAAACCTGCGTTTTGCCCCAAGGACGCAAGTGCTGCATGACGGATGCTGAACTTAAAGCGTGCGTTCCGTGCTGACGTATTTTCAGGTCTGCAATCATGCAGAAATGTCTACACGCGCCAAGACCGCGTTGCAAGGTGACCCGTTCTGGCCCAGCATGGCTGCGCCATCGTTGGCGTGGGCTGTCTGGCAGGCAGTGATTATACATGAGCACGCATTTCTCAGTCTCCCCGACCTGCAGAGTATGGCAGGCTGTGCGACCTCAAGGGCTCGCTGGAGCCAACAAGAGGGAGCCCATCATAGAGAACCAAACGACAACATCAAACGACAACATCAACAGACACTTTGGGAGATCCGCACGGATTCCTTGGACCTGCGCTGGACCCCCCCTCCCTGGTGCGCGGAGCCTGCCAAGGGCGTCGCTGGAGGAGGAGGAGGAGGAGGAGGAGGAGGAGGAGGAGGAGGAGGAGGAGGAGGAGGAGGAGGAGGAGGAGGGGGAGGGGGAGGAGGAGGCGCCGCCAGGGGGGAACCAGCGCCGATCCAGGAAACCCACGGGGGCCTCTAACAATCTATGCTCGTGCAGCTCTTTGTGCTCGGGTCGGCGGCTCACCTGGGCCAGCAGCAGGGGGCCCCTCTCGGCGGCGAGCCCGAGGGGGGGACGCACAATCCTTCCGCGAAGCTCTCCGAGCCTCCTCCGAAGGCGCAGGGTCGGCGGTGGACAAGCCTCCCTTTAGCAAACCTCCCTTTGGTGAGAACAGCCTGGGACCGAAGCCGACGGACCTGGGCCCGCAACAGTGATGGCCGCGACGCCCTCTCGCGAACCGAAAACGGCCAGATTCGCTCATCGACGCGTCAGGGTAGGAGGTCTATCAACCTCCGACAGGGGCCTTCTCAAGCACCGTCGCCTTCTGAGAAGGCCTGCCCCCTCTCTCGGGAGCGGCCAAGAGGGGGGGGTCCAAGAGGGAGGGGGGGTGCAAATCATGACCGGCGGCATGTGCGCGGCCCAGCGGGGGGGTCAGGGACGTAATGAAATAAGAAGAGGCGCCATGCAATCTGGAGAAATACCATGGCCCACGCCATGATATCCCCCCCCCTGGTCATCACCCCCCTCTTTGCCGCCCCCGACCCTCGCGTCTCCACCTCCCCCGGGCGCGCCGCCGATTCGGGTCGAGGACTCGCCGCTAGGCGGCGAGCCAGGGGGGGAAGTGAGAAGGGGCGTGCCTTCTCAGAAGGCTCGGAAGTCCCCCGGACTTCTGAGAAGTTTTCTCAGGCTTCCCCGAAGTCAGAAAAAGCTTCTCAGAAGGCATGATGGCTTCTGAGAAGTCCCGCCGCCTTCTGTGGAGGCCTCCTCCTTCTCAATCCCCCCCCTCGCTCGCCGTCGAGCCGCGGGAGTCCAACCGCAGGGGGCCCACTCTGGCAGGAGGCCTCTGTCTCCCCCTCTCCCAGGAGCGCCCT